AACTGTAGTAATTGAAAACGAGCAGTGGCAACACTTTTCGAAATAAAGCGGATTTTTATCTTATCTTCAGCGTTCCAGACTGTTGCCACTCGGAAAAAATGAGTGGAAAATTAGCGTTTTCAGAGTTTTTAATTAACATCTCGGTTAATTAAAGTTGTACGGAAATGAGAATTGTCGAAATGGCTTCCCACGAATTTTTTGGAATCCAGAGGTATCTTTCCCGAAACTCAACTCCCTGCCGTTCCGGATGAGATAATGTCGCAAACAAGCAAACAAACAGAGGTACGTAGATTTTTATAGTATAGATTACTAATTCCAGTAATCATATTCTAATACCCTCATGTGCTTTAAATATAGCCGATGACGGATAATTTCAGCAAATTTACATTAGAAGATAGGAGAATTGACATGAGCCCTTCTAGCTAATCAACTCCATAAATTTTTCTTTATGTAATTTTTTTAAGAGAACGGGAGATGACACGTCCGAGAATTCATCCTTGGACGAACAAGTTTCGGTCTCCTCAGTTCGTCGACTCAAGTGAACTTTGAAACGATCAACAAACGAATTTCTACTGAAAGAACAACTTCTTTCGGGACATTTCAAGTCGCTGCCCTGTCTGAACTGCATCCCCGGGGCTGGGTTTCGAAATTTTCAAACTGGATTAAGTCTCACTTATCAGATCGGAAGGCACGTCCTGTTCATCGGTCACTGCGGAAATCTGTTGCAAATGATTGGTGTTGGATACTTAATTTCAGATACGGTTGCGAAATTTTCGAAGACTTCCAATACATTCACCAGGCTTGCAAACTTGATCTATGCAGACCACGTAAAGGTTTCCAACTTCCGGATGCTTTTTAAATCAACAAATATTGTGATATATTGCACTTAAAACTAATGTTTCTTTTTTTTTTTTTTTTGTTGTTGTTGTTGTTGTTGTTGTTGCAAAAAAAATTTCAGAAAAATAAAGTAAAGATTTTGAGATTCTATAATAAATAACTTGTTCCGCGTGGTCCAGTTTGACGTAGAAGGGGAAAAAATAGGCGATAGGTATGAACAAGCAATTTTCCAATTTCGTGAAGCTACCCGCACGCAAAATATTTTTCTTCTCTTTCAGACTTCACAAAGTTCTCAGTTTCTGACAGGACATTTAATAATTCCCCTCCAATCTTTTCTAATGTTGAGAGATTATTGATAAATTTTATTATAATTTTAATCATCAGAAAAATTGTTAATATTTAATTTTTAAGGTTCTGAAGTGCATTTTTGATATTCTTTGGCATACAAATGACGCTTATAGAAATCGAGAGAAAGAGAAAATATTTTAACCAAGGCAATATTTGAATAGTTTCCTTCCTGAAATTTGGAAGATTTGCATAGTATAACATCGGCTAAAGACACGTTAAAGGCATATAACGCCAGAAAAAAAAGTTAACAATGTGCCAAAGAGTGAGAAAAGAAAAGTTTTCGTTGAATAAAATAAAAGCAAGAAGAAATCGTGTAGTCAGCTAATAACTACAAATTTTAATTTTCGAAATATTGTTTAGTTGATCTAAATATTGTATGTTAACAATGTACTATGTAAATTAACAAAGTGAAAATGTTAGTAACAGGAAAAAATAGCTTTACCAGAATAAAAATAAATAAATAAACATACTAACAAAATAAAAAATAAAAACAATCCGGAAGGGTTCAGATTTTATATTATTACGTCTAAATGGGCGTTTTTTTAACGTTTTTTGTGTTACCTTTATTTATTAAATATCATGTTTTATATACTCAAACCATAAAATTCAATCCAATAGCAATATCGTATAATAATTTTAAAATGAGCAAATCTTTAGAATTTTTTGATACAGAGTCTCGCGCGCTGAGGATATTTTTTTTTTTTTTTTGCTTCCAAGTACAGTGCTGCCTGCCATTGCTCGCTTTGAAATCGCTGAGTTTGTTAATCAAAAATTCCTTGAAGTGTTACAAAATACGAAATCGATAATAAAACAAATTTCAAATTCAAATTAGGGCTTCCACGTATCCATAATCTATGGAAGACTACGTTACTCACATTTTGATGGCTCTAGGTATCGTTGTTTTATCACAATGCGAGACATACATACATTCATGCAGATTCTTCATTATTTAATTTCTTTAAATATAATACAGGGTGAAAATATTCGGTGGCAACAATAGTCCTTCTGGGAAAATTTTCTCTTTGAGCAAAAAATCTGAAAGCTTTCAGATTTTATATTACTCCCAAAGGGGTGTTTTCGTTTTTCATTTACACACATATACTCATTTCGAAAGCATTTGTGCTAACACCATTTTGGGCTAAAAGTGTTTAAAAAGAGCACAGCTTTAGAATTTCCTATAGTCAGTCTTGCGCGTTGGAAATAAAATATTTTGTTCCGTATGATGTTGCCAATGCTCCTTTTGAAATCGATGAGTTTTTTCAATCAAAAATTCGTTAACATTCTACAAAATATGTAATAGATATTAAAAAAATTCTCAATTCAAATTTCTGGCTTCCAGGTGTCCATATTCGTGTGGAAGACTACGTTATTCAAAATTTAATTGCTCTGGGTACCGTTGTTTTTTCACAGTGCGAGAAACTACATACATTTATGGAGATTTTTCATTATTTGATTTCTTTAAATTAATACAGGACGAATATTTGGCGGGGACAATCTTAAAAGTCATTAAACGCATTTACTAATTTGATGCAAAATGCCATTTTGAGACAAATAGCCCTTGTGAGCTAACTCTCTTTTGTGTTAATTATAAAGAGTTAGAAATCAGATAAGAACTATATATATAAATTTACGAAATACTCTTGAAATACGGTTAATCTAAATGTTCTTTCAGGGAGATTTTAGTAAAATCAAATATAATAAGAATTCACGTAAAAATATACAGATAATAACACATTTAAACAGTGATGCAGAAATGAACGAAAATCGGTAAAATATTAAAGACTGCACAATAGTAATTAGAACACACAATTTCTTGAATGGAAGTGAAAGGATCCAACTTATTAGTTTACGATAGCTTTGAATACAGATCATACTGCTAACAGTGCTGAATGTCGTTCTGTATAAGATAAATGTAACTTACAAAGTAATAGCAGATTGAGCTTTATTCCACGTGATGAAATTCATCACAGGTTAAAAGGTGAGAATTTTGGTCTGATTGGTACAAAAAATTCTAAAATGTACAACCAAATTTTAGACATTGGTCCTTTTCTTGCCATGGTACATACAACTAACCAACTGAAAATAGTCAAACACATGCATTTTCTCAGAAATTTTTTCTTTGATCTCGCAAAATATGTTTAAAATCCTCCCCTCCCCACAGTTCTGGCGTTTAAAATCATGTGCAGAATAACAAAATACCCTTTTAATTAAAAAAATTTGAAATTAAATCATTATTCAATCAGCAATTAAAAAATGAGATTTTAAAATAGGTTTTTATTTAATTTGCAAAAGAAAACCTCATTTATTAAGACAGGATTATCTCATAATCGTATTACAATTTCATTAGTTTTAAAACGCTGCATTTTTCTTGATAGAATTAACAAGTGGTTATACTTTTCAGAAGTTCTTTATGTTTTGAAACATTTAAATGTAGTTAATTTATAATAAAAAAATTATGTATGTTAATATTTTTCACATCGTTTTTATGTGCAATTGTAATAGTAGCGAGCAGTTTAATCAAAGTTTTCAAACAACAATTTAATCGGGTTACGAAGACCAACAAGCGGCTGAGAGGTTTTAAGACCCTGAACACTGGTAATTTGGTCCGGGATTTAAGTTTCGGCGAACGGGCTGGATGCATGGACGTTTTCGTGGTTTTCCCAATGTGTAACGTAGATACGAGCCGACCTCCGTGAGGCAACCAACCCTCCGTTCCATGTAGTGCTTAATGACGGAGCAGGTCGTAAATAAATATATAAATTTGTTAATAAATAATGTCTAGATTTAACCCGGTCTTTTGTTTTTAGTGTCATTTTTACTATTATGTGCAACTGCTCATAGATCTTCGTGTGTGGTGCAGGCTTCGAAATAACGGATTTAATATTTTATTGAACATGTATACATATATATATATAAAATTAAAAGCTTAATGACACGTGTGAAAGGAATGAGAGTAACAAGAAGAAACAAACTCAGACTTGAATGCATTTACATAACAGGAATTTATTGACTTGGCCTTGTCCTTACATACCCTTGAAGAGTTCTAGCCGTCAGAATTCTGGGGTACCTGCCAATAACAAAACTGAAACATAAGGAATGTCACATATTCTTGTTTCGTACGGTATTTGCAGAAGGACGTTGCAAGGACGTAATCTATATTTTACATATGGCAGAGAACGAAGTCTAATCGTACACAAAAAACATTTTAGATTTAAACATACTGTAATTTATATTTAACATACTGTATTTAATATTAAAACACACTGCGACAATATTATTCTGGCCAATAAAAGGGTTTCTAGTTTAAAAGATGCATATGTTACCGTGAAAGACCGAAATTGGAGAATGTCGACTTTCACCGGAGAATATCAACATTCACCAAATACGTCGGTGAAAGACCGAATATTTCACTACATTCTTGTATATTCGGACCCTCACCTGTGTATGTCGACAATCACAGATATGCTCTGGTGAAAGTCGAAAAGAGGGGTCATAAAGTGCCATAATAGTTTAAGTTGTTGCAATAAATAAGATTTGAATCACATAATTTAGTAAGTTTTTTATGACTGTTATTTTATTTTCTCATTTAGAACGTACTGTATAATTAAGTAAGTTTTCAACTTTCTCATTTTGAATTTTTTTTTTATTATTTTCCTTTCTCATTTTGAATGTATTGTGTGTTTTAGGTTCTCATGTTCTTAAGTTCTTATTTCAAGTTTCAAGTGCGTTTATTCGCGACTGAATTACGGAGAAGAAAATATAATATTGTTATATGTTTAACATTCACCATTAGTACATGGTGAATGTCGACATTGACCGGTGTAAGTCAGAAATAAGAGTATTTGGAAAATATTTCGGACATACACCAAGAGACTATGTGAATGTTGACATTCACCGGTGAAAGTCGACATTCTCCAGATTTCGGTGTTTCACCGTAACACATATACGACACATACGACTTCTGACAGTCAGTGGTCGATATTAATAATACAAAGTGGACAGCCTACAGAAAGCTTTAATGGACTTGTTTTATAAGAATCGTGTTACTTTACATCTGTAAACCTTGTGCAGTGGCGTAGCTAGGGTGGGGCAAGGGGGTGCATCCGTCCCCGGGCGCAGCATCGAAGGGGCGCCAAATTGATGATACACCTTTCAGAATGAAATGTTTTCCATTCTTGGAACACAGAAAGGGGCGCAAAAGCTTTAGGTGTCCCCGGACGCTTGAAATCTTAGCTACGCCTCTGGCTTTGTGACAGATTTTTCCCCCTTATCTTATAGATTTAAAAATTCTGTTTTATTTAAATATATGAATTTGTATAAATAATCAGTTGAAAACCTTTCAGACAAGTATGATATTTGATGTATGGCTAAAGTTCTGCCTCAAAGTCGGATCAGTCTAAAACGTAACAATGTAAATGTCACACGGATACGTTTGCCAGATCGATTCATCAGTGAATGTTCCACATTCTACATTTACTTCAAACTGCTTCGTCACAGGTCGCGAAGCATCGAAACTAACGTTGTACCTCAACTGAACTATTTGAAATAAATTTGATTTGTAAGGTCACCTAACTAAAATATTTACAAATATTCCGAGTAAACTACTCTTTGCTCGGATATTGAGCACTGCGGTCCAGACTCACTTTCAGTGCTTTTGTCACATCTAAAGAGTTTTCTTTGTGCTCTGGAAATGTCACTTTCAGACACACGCCCGCGCTGGTCCACCTTCTGCCTAATGATAACACTCTGAATGCTATCGGCGTCGGAAGATTCGGAGGAAGAGGAATCAAAGGATTCTTCATGATTTGCAGTGCTGTCAGAAGTATCCAACTCAGACGTTCCATCCGGAGTGGCAGAGCCGTTTTCATAGGCTAGAATGATATTAATCATATTTTTGTTGATCACGGCTCTTGCTGAAGGTTTCTCGTCGTCTTCTAGCTCACACTGGCAAAGATCCAAATCTTCGTCACGACAGTTAATGAAGGGAGTTGGCGTATCGCAGCGACGACCTCTGGTTTCCTCCTCTTTGGGACAAGGTGGATCAAACAGAGCAAGAACTGATGGACGGCGAAATACAAAATCATCCACAGCGTTCGTCGTTACTGAATTCAGAGATTGTCCAGTTGAAGAGTAGGATGAAAAAGGACTTGAAAAAGAGGTAGTTGACGAAGGTAAGCTAAGAAGAGTAGTGTAACCTGCACTGCCATATCCCTTTCGCAGTGAATCCACTTCGAGGGGCTGCAATGATTGAAGGCTAGGGAGATTTGCGGGACTCCAACGCAGGCGCTGTGGAAATGGAGGCGCTCTGAAAGGAGGAAACGGAGGATATCCAACTTTTGCAATATTTGACTCGCCAATCTGCATGCGGAAGCCTCCATGATCTGCAAGAAAAATTATCCAAGTATTAAAATCATTAATATACTGGTATAGGTGAAAAGCAAATTTGCAGATAATTTTAAGAATCATAAACTTCATCAGTAACAAAGCTAATAGTTTGTACCAAGTTATAAACTGTATCTCATGAAAAAGAAGGCACAAAAAACTACATTTAGTAAATGCCATGTAGTTTCCAACAAAAATGCTCAAACTTTCAAATTCGGACCAAACTGATATTTTCATAATTAAAAATTAAAACTGCATAAATAAAGGTGATTGGAAGTCGTCCTCTCCTCTCAGTTACTTTAAGTCAGGAGAATGCTCTGTTAGGAATTTTTTATATTTGTGTGAAATTAACGTATAGACGATATACGTATAACGTATAGACGACTTCTAACATATAGACGATGTACGTATAACGTATAGACGAATTTTTTATATTTGCGCGAAATTATACGTAAAATTGCAGTATCTTTTGTATAATGTAACATGAAAATCTGAAGACGCGAATCTTTGCTTGAAAAATAAGAATATAAAAGCAAGTCTATTTACCATTGAGTAAATGGCTATCTTGCTAAATTGGCTAGATGTCGCCAGGCTGGCGACGATTTTTTAGACTAATTTCTGTCTCTGAATTTGGCGAGAAAACGTCAAAAATTACCAAACTTGGCGATAATTTGGAGACATTTTGGTACGGTACCTGTATAACTGTAACTGTTACTGTAACTGAATACAGTTACAGTTACTGTATATGTAACTGTCAATTACTGTATGTAAATGTAACCGCATCTGGACTGTATTCTATATAATTTTTACCATCACTTTAAAGTAGATGCATTTCCAGGCATAGTTGCAAAAACTTAGTTTCTGTTCAAAAGTTCCAAAGATATAGTGAATTTATATATTAATTCGCTTTGAAACTTGGTATATTTACTATAAGCGATAATAACGCTAAATGTGCTTTACGCCCTTTGTTAAAATTATTTCAAAGAATGAACGAAGTATCTCTTTTTCTGCTCATGCACAATGAAAAAAGGGGAAAGGAAAATAGGTTCCTATAAGTTATGAATTTATCCAAGTGAATTAATTATTCTTGGCCCAAACTGAGAAAACTGCTGAAAGATAAATTTTTAAACTTCTCTGTAAAATTCTCACCAAATTTTACAAAAATCTAATATTTAGGGATAATTTGAGTCGTAGAATCGAAATATGGAAAAGAAAATCTGCATGCCATTTCGAAAAGCTTCCGATTTTGTTTCGAAATACCTGTGTTAGAACAATGTTATATATAACACTAATATATAACTATAGTCGTGCTTTCGAGACACGAAAAACATAATTTCGTCAATCGGCTCATTAGAATAGGAGTCCCTTTTTAGTCCAAAGGAGCAGTTTGCCCAGAGGAACTATTACTTTTGTTTTGGCATTTTGTGGCGTTTCACTACAAACGGCGTTTTTTCAAATTGTTGCCACCAAATATTATTTTGAATAACATAATCGTCCTGCGAATATAGGAAGGAAGACCAAATTTGAAATTTGGAATTTGTTTTATTACCGATTTCATATTTTGTAAAACTTTAATACATTTTGATTAACGAACTCAAGGATTTCAAAGCGATTAATGGCAACGTTGTACAGAAAAACATTTTTATCTCCAGCGCACGAGACTGTGTACCGGAAATTCCAAAAATATGCTCAGTTTAAAATTATTTTGCGATATTGCTGTTGAACTGAATATTATGGTTTAAGTGCAAAGAACATGATATCTAATAAATAAAGGTACACACAAAATGTTAAAACAAAACGCCCCTTTGGATGTAATTTAAAATCTGAAACTCTTCAGATTAAAAAAAAAAAAATTATTTATTTATTTATTTTTATGGAGAGTGTACATATAGCTGGCATCCTGATGTTGTTCTCCAATAAAATTATATATTCCTGACTAAGTTCCTAAATAACTTAGCCTTGGCTAAGTTTCCACTAAATTTAGAACAACATTAACAAAGAATTAAATGGATGAAGGGTTGGCATTCTGAAAATAGTTTTAATGACTGTTAAAACTAAAAAAGAATCAAACAAGAAGGTCGAATTCTTTTTCAGTTACTATAAGTAATGCACAATTAAATTAATGAGCAGTTTTTATTAAATCGTTCAGCTTCACCGAGTCCCACTCATTATGGTGTACGTTCACGTTTTTCACGGTATGACTGTAAACGTTTTACATACATGGTTAAAAGTTTTACATTACATTAGATTAAATTCTGTTATCAAAAAAGAACAAGTGAAAATATCACGTAAACCCTGGTAGTTTCTTCCAGGTTTCTATCTGGCTGCTAAGCTGGTTAACTAAGTAAAATTTTCATGATTTTCCCTGTATAGTTAATTTTGTAAGGAAAATCCAACATTAATTCCTGCGCTCCTAGGCAAGTTGCCTTCGTGTCTTTTGCCGTAATTAACAAAACTTTTACGGTGATGAGACGTTTTCCGTTAATAAGCATAAACTGGTACTAATGATGTATTAGAATTTGTGTTCGTAAATTTTCCACTTGTCGCTCAGATGGGAAAGTGGTTAGTGAATCTGACTGCCCTACCGAATGGCCCGGGTTCGAATCGCGGAGAAGGCATCAAAGTAAATTGTCAGTGCCTTTATAGAAGGTAACTTTGACCCAAATATTATGTGCTTCTATAATAAAGTGACCACCGTAATAAAGTAGTGGCCAGTGCCTGAAACGGTTAGTAACCGCCATTGGAAATAAATTTTCCGCATTCAGTCCGTTTTTTCGTGGGACATAAAGATGTATAATAAAACACCCAAAATTCATATCATTTAGCATTTAATTATTTTGTTCAGCTCCATGTGTTCACTGGATTGTATTATCAAACTTGTCAAATTAAACTTAATGTTTATTCCTACTTCATTGTTAAATAAAGCAGGTGTTTAATTTGATTTTGTTTATTTGCTTATTCATTAAAAAAATTCTTTTTATTAAATTCCTACTATTAGCTCACACTGTCCCTATATCTTTTTCAAATTTTCAATAGTTAATAAAATATTTTTTATTCATCCACTCAAGTTCAAATACATTTTTTGAACTTGTAGTGGATGACGCTTGATGTTAATATAGTTTTTTTTTCACATATTAAAGCCAATTCCTACTTATTTATTCCTGTTTATCGGAACTAAAGATATGCTGTTTTTATCAAATATATTATAAGACAATTATTACAAATACTGAGCGTTTATTAGGAATTCTCACGTGCTGTAAAAATTAATTTTATAACAACTTCTAAATAAAAGTGCATGACTGTGATTAATGGGATTGTAATATGTTAAAAAAAATGGGCGTAATTTAAAATCTGAAACCTTTCATATTTTATTTTCCAGGTATTTTCTAGTACTTTTCTTATCACTCTCTTTTCACGCACACTTTTCATGCCATAATGTAAATCAGATATAGAGCGTTTATTCAGATTAGGTAAAAAAATGCTGTTTAGGAAAAGTTTCGGAAGTTAGTGTTGGAACGTGTCTGCCATTCAGGCCAGTGTGCCGTGATTATTAGGTTTTGATTCTGTGCCGGTTGAATGCTTATAGCCTTGGCCCTTCTCGCCGGTTTTTTCTACAAACCAGTGCCTTTCCTGAGCGTCAGATTATTTCTGCGAGTCATTAGGCTAATCTACCACATTTGAATTTGTTCAGCGTTATATATTTCTGCTATGCCAGAAGTGCTGAAAGCTTGTGTAACCCAAGTTGAATCTTTGTTAATTTTTGTGTTCGAAGGAAAGGGTTTTATACACCCTTTTCTGACATTTGTTTTTTTTTACAAGCCTAGAAGATAATTTTTTCCAAGTCTTTTAAAGTCTGTAGTAATTATTAATTCTTAGTGAAATTATATTAGTTCTAAAACTTATTCTGTAAGTATCGCGGTATATTTTTATGGAGGAGGAGACAGATCAAAAAAGGCAGACTTTTTTGACTTAGTTTATGTCTTTTATTTATTAGCCAGAAGGGATACTCATTTGTTTTGGCATTTTGCGTTGGTTCAGTATAAATGTCGGTTCACTTTTCAAATTGTTGCCATCAAGTATTACAGCCCTGTTTCAAAGAAATTAAAATGAAGAATCTGCATAAATGTATGCATTTTTCTCGCATTGTATAAAACAAACGGTGCATAGAAAAACCCAATTTTGAAAAACGTGATCTTCCATTGAATATGGGCTGGAAGCCTGAATTTGAATTTAAATTTGTTTTATGATCGATTTCATTTTTTGTAACACTTAACGAATTTTTGATTAACAAGTTCAAGGATTTCAAAGCGAGTCATGGCAACGTGTACAGAAAAAAAAATTTATAATCCCCAGCGCGCGAGTCTGTGTATCGGAATTCTAAAGATATGCTCATTTTAAAATTATTTTGCGATATTGATTAAATTGAAATTTATGGTTTAAGTGCGAATAACATGATATTTAAATAAATAAAGGCAGCACGCAAAACATTAATACGCCACTTTGGGCTTAATGTAAAATCTGAAAGCTGTCAGATTTCAGATTGCAGCCAAGAGGTAGAGGTTAGGGGTGTCTAATGCGGTACCGAAGTTCCGGTTCGAACTGTAGGAGGCATGGTGTAAACTATCCGTTTTCATAGGCCGCCTAAAATGGGCTCCATAATAAAATGGCCACCATTTCTGGTCTTAGGAGTGGTCATGTTATTAGGAAGATGCCGACATTGGAAAAAGAAATGTGTTTTTTAATTCACAAGTTCAACTAAATTACTGTATAGAATACGTTAACGCGTTTAAATAAAGTTACTGCATAAAAGTTTGATAAAAATGAAATAAAATTAAAATATTTTAAGAATCCTGCATTTAACAGATAACTCCACTCTAAACATAATTCAAAGAGAGTAGAATAATTCATTTCGGTTTTTAACTCCTTGTACGAAGTTAAAATGAAGTATTGTAATCGCGAAAAGTTTCAGGCCGCATATTTCAACGAAAATATCTATTTT